TGACCCTCTTCAAGTAGTTCATCTGCCTCTGCATTAGTCCTTGTTTCCAGTTCATCCACAATTTCAGACTAATACCTCTGCCTCCCTAACCAACAAACCAAGGACGACTCTGTTTCATTCACCCCAAATCACTCACATGGCACACTCAATTCGGCACAATTCATCTCTCGTACATGATTTGGAGAGTGCAATTAAGACATCCTTGACATCACTGGCCAGGCAACCATCCACCATTACCCCTCGTCTTAAAAAAGAGCACCTGTCCCCCAGAGAAAGATATGGACCTTTGGTAGGGTTGGAGCATTCTAAACTGCCTTCCACCACCCCTCCAGTTGTACTCCCCTCTCTTAGCTCATCTCGGCTGCTGCCAGACAATTATAGCCACTCCTCATCGATTATTGCCCATTGCCGCGTAATGCAAGGTTATCCTCAGCCTAATGGAATAGCCAAAATTCGAACACCCAACTTTAGTCAAATTCGAAGACCATGTTAATATAAGTCACTAACCTTTGAAACCTCATTGGAAGGTGCCGAAATGAGAAGCTAGGCTCACGAGGCAGCTATGGTTCACTATACATATCAATCGTCAACCATGCTACATTTATTCTCCCTTACACCTTTCATTACATTCTTCCACATGACATTTATACTCTCAATTTTGAACTCATTCATCACATCACTGCACAAATTTTCTCCACATAGGAGGAATGTCAACAAAGTTGTCATGAAAGATGTAAATATAGCACTATTCTATCAATCATTGTTAGTCAAATTCCATGCTGAATACTTTTCCAGACCTCTGCTAGCCTCTGCCGAAAGGAAGTTGGTTTGGCAGTGATAATTTCGCCTTGCCAGGAAGTCTCAATTTTTATCAAGCATCATGCTTGTTTAGCCACTAATGCCTGGTTAAAAAGTTCAAGATCCACCCAAGACAAATCTTACTCAACTGATCTACATGACTTTGATAACATATTTTCTACAAAGTTTAATACTAGCAAGTCGTGTAGAAGCGTTTAGAAATTTTTGTAATAAGAATTGAAAATAAAAATTATATTTGAACGATCATGTCTTTGTATATATTGAATATTAATTGATTGTTGTTGAAAAGTGTACAATACCCCTATATTTATATGCAAAATTATCCCTAATTCTATTCATAAAAGGAAACTAAAATATGGAAACTAATAAAATCCTAATCTAA